TATTTTAGTCAATTATTTTTTTCACGTATAATTTTTTATATATTTTTATTAGATGAGCCTCAGTAAGATGTACATACCTTTCAAATTTCAGGTCATTCTAATATGTAAAAACAAATGAAAAATAAAACACTACCGGACAATCGTGACCAGACGATGAAATTTGGATGATGATGAAGGTAGACTAAATCACTATTCATTTTCGCCTATAGGCGTTGGGAAGACTTTTACTATATATATATGGGAAAAATTTATATAAGGTTGCAGCCTTGAAATGTAGAATTACATATGCACCTCAAAAATCTATCAGAAAGGTTGTTTTAATGTTGAAAAACCCTCTATTTGACCATCTCGACATCGAGATGTATGAATATAAAAAAAAAACGTTTTTGAGTCTCAGAAATGGTGTATCTTACAACACATTATCTAGACCGTCCATTTTGAAGATTTTTATATGTTTATAGATCTGCTTGATTTTAACCATTTTTTAAATTTAAAATTTTTTAATTAGATATGAAAATAGATTTTAAGATAATCCTAATAATTTTTTACAACAAAATTACATATTATAAAATTTAGAGGTGTGCCTTAATTGGATTGTTTAAGGTTGCAACATTATAGAAACCACACCCCTAAATATATAGGATAATCTAAACTTCACAACTCTTCAAATTAGGTTAAAGATATAGAGAGTTGAAGGGTGGATTTACTAATTTTGTAGTCTATTTTTTAAAAAACGTTAATTTTTGTGATATCTTTATCATTAAGTAAAGGCAATTTTGTAAATATTACTACAGGACAAAGGGTACTCTCCATAAAGGGTAAAGTTGAAATTTTTATTAAAAGACAATGACACTCTAGAAATAAAATTCCAGGACATTAACTTCCAAAATGCAATTGTAATTTTATAAAAATTTCAAATTTATTATTGCTTAATAGTTTAGTTACATATTAAAATAATTTTTTAAACAAAAAAGTAATCATTTTTTTGATATATACACCCGTCACAACCTCTTATAACTTTAACATTTGCATTTTTATAAGAAAATAGTGACATTTTATTAGTAGTTAAAACCAAATAATGCATCTTATGGGTGATTTCACATATCATATCGGTGATGTCATTGTCCACTATTTTTAATAAATACTTTTGTTTCGAATTTCTAGTTTACCCTTGACTAATTACTTAAACTACTTATAAACAAAAAGTTACTGCACTATAGGATAAGGTATCTAAATGTCTAAAAATGTTGAGCACTTTAAAGGTTTACACCACAAGTGGTGTAGCTTAACAAAACC